CGAACAAATGTAATCATTTGATCTTTTAGGCAAACTTTTAAGTTATAATTCCGAAAAATTTTATTTGGAATTCTTTATTTCTACTTCTTCATCTGATCAGAAGTTATTGGTTCGCTGATGCTTTCCTTATGACGTTAAAACTATTTCGATCACTTTAATATATATGAAGAGTAAAAATGCTCTGAATAAAAAGATGATATCTTAAAATTTGTATTTCGAGCGGTAAAAAAAGAGATATCGTTAGGTAATGCACATTGAGATTATGCCGGAAAAAAAAGAATAAAATAAATCAAAACATTCCTTTCTTTCTTTTTTAAAACGTAAAATTTATTAATTAAATTTCTTAGTAAAAACAATCAATGACCATTTCTACTATAAATTTACCACATTTCTCTTTTAATTTTAAATACAATTAAATTTGTTTAAATTTTTTTTTAGAAATTACTTTTGTCTTTATTTTGCAAAGCACCAATACTATCTAATTTATTATAATATATAAATCGAGAAAAATAACTGCCGGGTGCAATCAAGAATTGTTGGGTTATTGGAACTATTCGAATTAAAAGTATTCAACACTTTTTCCCAAACACAAAAAAAAAAAAATCAAGCTCCAGAAGTCTCTCATCACGCCTATCCTATTGTATATATTATGATTTTAAATATACTATAAGTAATCATTAAATCATATGCTAACATTAAATCATTGACTTGAAGTACGTTTTGAGGTATGCTTGATCTAAGAGTACTTTATGTCCTTTAGTCATCATAGCGTATGTTATGGCTGTTGTGAATCATAGTAGACAACTTAGATATATGTTGTCTGTGGTTGCGGTAAATAAATATTATCCAAATAATATCAATAACTTTTCTAATGTTTCGAAATAAAATTGTATTTCGATTCTACTGTAATTTTTCAAGCATTTTATATAGTAATTTTATTTTTATTTAACATTACTAGACATGAAATATAAAGAGAATTTAAAATTAATTGAAAAGTAATATTAATATCCTACAGTATATATATATGTTTATATATTAAATATCATGAAAGCGTTAGTCAAACCATTTTATTTGGTGTTTTAAAATAATTAAATTACTCAACTGAAATGGTATTCAAATTTTAATTTCACAGGAATTGCAGCAGTTAAAAAAGCTTTTAATCTGTTAGTAATCAATTAACCACTCTCAACTAATTTAAGTGGAACTGATATTACATGCTTTTGGCGCCAATAAATATTGACTTTCAACGCACGCATGCATCAGCCATCGGTTTGCTCCTATCAAACGCGTTCAAATAGCAGAAGTTCCGTTTATTGCAACCTTAATTAAATTTAGAGCTGCCAACGGCTAAAACAAATGGTTCAATTATTGTGTTTATGTTCAAAACTGGTCAGATTACTGTTCTAAAATGGATTATCTGCAATAATTTGAATATTTTTGGAATTTCTGTCGATATACTTTTTTCGTGTAAATTAAAATTAGAAAAATGATTGGTTTTGACTAAGTACTCAACGAGTAATTAACAAAATAGTATTGCTTAGAAGGATTATGTTTTCACTAAAAATAAAAAAGTGTAATTATCTCTTGAAATATTAAAGATGAACTATACCCATAATTTGCTATTATAATACTATATTTATAATAAATAATGATAATAATAACAACAATTGTTGTTGTACTCTTCAACACTAAAAACTGTTGGTAACTCTTCTGAATATTTATATTGGAAAACATATACTCTGAAATATTGTAAAAAGGACATATTAAAATAGGCACTTTATATAAATATTTAAGTGGCAATTGACTTTTTAGCATGAATCGTTTATAGAATGCAATTGACATTTTATATTTAAATACATAAACCTTAAGGTTATAAGACCAAATAAAAATTGTATAAAAACATGAAATACAAATGATGTTACATACCAAAAATAATTTAAATTAAATTTTCTCAGTATAATATTTTTAATAATATTCGGAGTTTATTCCTTCCTATAACTTACACTGCAAGTTTCTAACTTTTGAACTACTATTTAATATATATTCAATATTTTTCTCATCTTTAAATATATAAATATATTTATATTGAATTACAAACAGTGGTGTTCCTATTTTTCCAGGTACACTAAGCTCTGAACCAGGATATCTGACATAGATGACTATAGTCTAGATAGAGGTGCTCAAATCTTTTCAAACACAGATCCCCACTGAATATTTAATCTAGCAAATAACTTATCAATCAATAATCCATCTCAATCAATTACCAAAGTAAAATGTTACTATGCTGTAAAATAAGCCATAGATAACCAGATCCCTGAAGCAAAAATCGCAATCTTATCGGCAGTTAAGCTTAAATCCCTGGTAGGCACTGCAGCCACATTTTTAACAATACGAAAATGCCGGGAATTCTTCAATGAGCTAGCTAGGCATGTCAGTGTTCAATTCACATCGGTTCCTGGACACAGATAAATCTTGAGCAACTCTAGTGCGGATAAGCTGGCCAAAGCAGGCACTCTGCTCTGGTCCCTGAGAAACACTTCTCTGATATTGCTGTACCACTTACAACAGTTAACCTGGCAATGAAACAAAAATATCTTAACATTGCCAAGCAAAATTTGAATCCTCCTGATTGGACAAAAAATGCACCAGTTAGTTGCTTCACTTAGGCGTACAACGCTCAGCACTACGGTATTGGTGCTGATGGATCGCTGCGTGTTAGAAAGACATGCTATCAAACTGGGTTTACCTTTTAACGAGTTATGTCGAGGTTGTGGCTCTGTAGATGAGCAAGAAACAGTGTTCCCTCTCATGTGTCACTGACCATGTTTGGCTAGGATAAGATGTAACATCTGCTGGACCTCTTTTCTTATCGACTAAACCGACCTTTCGTTCTGCAAAACAAAGCCCTTAGCCAAGTTTATAGAACTTTCAGATTGGTCAATTTTTACGTGCTTTCATGCACTAATTTCTAGTCTGCGCTTGTAGAAAATGAAATCCAGCTGTACCACAACGGTTTAGTATTTGAACTTAAGTGGGCTTTGTGCATAAGATCACCACTCTAACCGAGCCTAACCTAATCATCAAAACGTAAACAATATTTGACTTGTAATAATATATTTTTCTGTAAGTACAGAAGCATTGACAGAATACTTTAATACCACAATTTGAGAATTTTGAGACTATTTATTGTTAGATTTAGTTTGATCGATAACTATTCTGAATATATTAATCTGAATATTAAATAAATAAATATTTTAAATATAAAATATTATATTGGAAAGCCAGTAATGTTTTATAGCATTTCTTCAAATTAGTATTTTTATGCTCCGCTTCCAATATGAGGAACTAATTAGTACCATGAAGCCAAGTAGCTAATCAGTATCATAATTCCAAGTGGGTTTTTGTTAAAATTCGAAAACAAATTAAAGCCATCTGTTCCTGTCATATATCAAAATTAGTTAATAAATTTTCTATTGTAAATAAAAATAAATTGCATTTCAGTTCGGTATTAGTTTTAATTAATTGTGAACTGTGTCATTTTCGTAATTCATTGCGATCGTAAAAAATGGTAAAAATAATTACTAGTAAAATAATCAATTACACACTAGCATGTGGAATGGAATACATTAAAAAGTGAATAACGACAAAACTACCAAATTAAGGTTGGTGCAACCACGGCAGTTGCAGTTCCAAGATTGCCAAGCAACCAAAGTCATTCCGGTACAAATTTATTGCTCCAAAACCAAACAAAGCGAAAAATTGTGCTCGTTAATTGTAAAATATAAAATTTTTATGTTTCATATAAATATGTTATATCGCAGAAATGCTCGGTGAGCTGCGCATTTTTACTACTACTTTTCGAAAGAGAAGGTTTCGAAGTACCACGAAATATGTTAAACGCATATGGAGTGAATGTACTTGGTATTGAGTAGTAAAGATGGCTTTATAAGACATGTATTTGTGAAACATATGGGAACAGAAACTCCATGTGCTATTCGTACAGGAATTCTGCTTCCTTGACGTTACAAAATGGTTCAAATAGTATTTACAACAATCCTGGAACGATGTTCCTTAAACAGAAAATCATTAAATAATTTAATGATGACGCCGCAAATAATAAAATATACATAAAAATCGTATAGTTTAACAATTATTGGGGATGAAATAAGAGTTTTGTTTTTAAGTAATAAAAATCATTGTAATTGCATTATACAAACTAAACTATTAAAGCTTTTAGAGTTAGTTTGGAACAATTGCAGCCTTTGCCATAGTAATTTTATTTTCTGTTGTAAATGACATTGTAAAATTTTAGTACTTGACTTCGTCATTTAACATTTTCAATACAACTGCTTGCGTTTTAAATTATTTATTATCAGTAAAATACAAAACTTAAAGCGTTTAATAGCGCACATTAATCTCAATATTGCCTCAAATTGATTGTCAATTACAGGCGCAATTTGAGAACGTCACCAGTGCTTCGCATAACCACAAACTATCGAACTTTCTGCTGGTCAACTTGAGACTTGGTTGACATATTGCGGAAACAGTACAGTAGATACATGAGCCCAGAAGATACTCAATCAACTTCTTATGCATAATTAGGCAACTTATGTCAGTAACATGCTATGATGTCATCCCTGTCAGGGTTGCGTGTTTGTTTGTTGATTTACTGTAGTCATTCATTCACGTATCCCTGCGTGCTTTAGCTTTTCTTCTTGTGCATCTAAGAAATATCAGGTTCATATTAATTTCAATCCCAGCTGATATGTCGAATTTGCGTAGGTAATCTCAGTGGATGCCAAACGAAAAGGAATGAATTACTGCTTAATAATAGAGAAAATCAAAAGTCAGAAGCATTTACGCTCTCGTTGGTACTGTCTTGTATGCATTCCTTAGTTTTACATTACCAAAGCACATTTTTTAATCTGAAATAATAGTTATTTTAGTTTATTTATATAATATGATATATATGTAAGCAAATAAAAAAAAACGTAGCTAGAAACCTTTTTTATTCATCTTTTATGTTACATGTAATCGTTTCAGAAATCGCTTAGATGAACTCATTACTGCATGGGATGTTATTCAGCCGATACTTCCTAGATAAGATACATTGATAGTAAATAGTTTATAATTAGTGATACTGACTAACAATACGTAATATAATGTATTATTTTATTATAAATCCTATATAATTATTAATACTCTCAGTAGCACCTAGTGTAACGTCTACCGCTCACATATCTTGTGCTCTTGGCAATAAACTTTAGAAAAAATATGTACTCCAAATATAATATATATCCAAAAGGAAATTTTTTAATATCTCTTAATATCAAGTTTATATGGGATGCTATATTGAAGATATTCTGTATTTTTATATTATAAGAAAGAGAAACAGTAAATGGTGTTGTCAACATCTGAATTATGAAATTTTTAAATTGCAAGGATTTTATCGCTACTACGTGTAGTATCAACATTTTAAATATGGGCTAAATGCTCGTGTTGATCTGGATTTTATATTTACCATCTGGACCTGATTTGCAATCAAATTGATCCTGAATCACATTATTTTTTAAATTATGGAAAACATCACGACAACATATCAGTTGTCTGGTTCTCGCTCGCATAGATATAATAGGCTATTGTTAGGCAGATGTGCTGGCTGACGGTATGTCAGAGATATTAATTCAGAATATCTGAAAACACTAGATATACATTATGAAAACACTGGCTATACATTATGAAATCTATTGTTTATAACTTTTTTTATTAAAAAATTTCCTCCAAAAAGGAAGTATTCCACACTATGAAAATATATGTATGCAAGTAGATCCCATTAAAATAAAAAAAAATCTATCAAATTAATTAAAATATTTCGTAAGGATATCAGTCTCTTGGTATTTGTCAATGGATTATAGCCAGTTAGGGATCCCTAGAAGCTTAAAGCTTCTATTAAATGATTCCGGTAGTAGTTGTATCTCACAACTGATTTGTCACTGTCCACTGCTTGCATAGTGATAATTAGTCATACTAGTCCCACTTTTTGGAGGATTTTGATCAGCTTCAAAATCTACCATACAGAGCAGTTTAACTTCATTACAAGTCCAAGGTGGTTATAAAGCTCTTAAATTAGAAAGTGTCTCATATATACCTTGTCACTGTTCAGACCATGAGTAATGACGATTACTCACACTAATGGCACTGATTTCGAAAGATTTTAGTCAACTTCAAGATTTACCCTTGAAAAGAATTTTATGTATTGTTATAGGTCCAGAAGGGTTTATAGGTCTTATATTTTTAAAAGTAGGCTTAATAGGCCAATAAGCTGAAATGGATCCTTAGGATTATCGAATAAACATTCAAAGGATTTTTTGATTTTTGAGATATGATAACCTCTTTTTTTGACATATTCCTTTCTTAGAAATTTAAGTAACATATGTCTAATAATTAATAAAAATGTTCCAACTAACTATTTTTTCCAACTAATGCTTTTTTTTTAATAAATAGTGATTGAAAATTGTGAATTTATTTTAAATCACTTAATAAAAACAATGTAATTAACGAACTAACTAATTAACGAATTTTTCTGTTTAAATTCTTTATAAAATTGACTTGAAATATTTTTTAGATTTTTAATTAAAAATTTGTAAAACTGGTACACTTTTCGCTATTAAACGAATTTGCAGTCTTTACCCAACTTTTTGTTTTTTGAACTCTGTATATCTCTCAATGAAATCCTGCTTCCTTGGCAAAGTACACAACTTTCTCAATTATAATTTTATTAATTAATTGTACTTTGCGTGTGTCTTTCCCCAAATGACCTTGAATTTAAATATACTTTTTTTTTATTCTCTTCTTGATAAAATTAGAAATGTATATAAACACATGTATTATTCCCATACCCATTCACACGATGACGTGGCAGTAATCAGTGGCGCTGTCAGAAAGTTAGTAGAAAAAGTTAAATAAATTTTATGCTGGCCTCCGTCTTCTGAGAAAGTTAACTGCAGGATAATAGCTTGTTTCCTGCATGAGTTGTCAATTATAAAAGTACATAACAAACAACTTCCACAAGCCAAAAACGCACAGTCATGGCGGCCAATTTTCACAGAAAAATGCTCAAGAAATTCATCTTAATGTAGATTCGAAATATCGTTAGGGCGGGCGAGCAAAGTGGCTACCACGCATGCAAAACATTCTTCCAGGACTCGCGTGAATCGTACCAGGAAAGACGAAAAAATTAACAAAAAAAAACATGATTGATGATGTTTCAATTGTTTGGCAGTAAACAAATTCAACTTCTTCGGCGTTTGCGAAATTTTAATTTAGATACGCACTCTGCTGAGCCGGATGAACTGGGTGAAGTGGTAACAGTTGCGAAGTACTTAAACTGTCACTCAAATTCGAATTGTTTTTAATATTATTTTTAATAAATTTCTTTGTCATATTTGATTTCATTTAAGAAGATAATTATTAAGTAAATCCACAAAACAATCAAATTTGCTGTTATCAAAATGTTTGCTTTGCACATCAAACACTTTTTGTTATTGCTCAAATATTTGATGGAATATTACAAAATTAATCGTTTAAAAATCAATTTGGCTGTCTGTTCTGTACATTAAATTTTAACTTTATATTTTATACATAGCAGTGTGGAATTATAGGATGTATTTAAAATGAATGAGGATTATCAATTTTGGCTTTAACTGATGCCAACAGTGGTAAGGTATAACCTTTGGTAAGCTCATTACTACATGCATTAGCGCAGCAACCGCCACACTGGAGTGATAATTGTTCGTGCTTGTGCTTCATTATTGCCAAAGCATCTTTTATTAATTACAAGGATTAAAATGTTAAATCCTGCGTATTTAATTTTACAACAACACCGCCATTTACAAAAATGTAAACATCGCCGCAAAGTTGGCGTTCGAAAGCTGAATGCGAGTTAATTGAGTATCAATTAAATGATTTTTGTGGATGCCTTTTAGGAATTTATGATCATTTAAATAAATTAAAATGTATTCCAAAATTTATTTCAACTGAAAATGGTATTTCTAAAATAGTAGTAATAAAATTTTAGTATAAACAACAAAAATGTGGATATTTCGTTTTATTATAATATTATTTGTTAATTTTTAGATGGTTTTTCGAATAGCAAAGAAAGAAATAAAGGAAAAACACAAAAATTTATTTTAATTTTTATTGAAATTTTATTTGAAAATTATTTGTTAATATAATTAGTAATTTATAATAATTTAATATGACTTCTCATTATCATTTTCATATTAAGAAACGAAACTTAGTGGTTTAAAAAACGAAATTAACAAAATATTCAAAATTTCAATAAAAGAAGAGTATTGAAATTTAACACTTAATAATAAGAATAATTAATTAACTAATTCTACAGCTGATTAATTATTTCGTTCTAATATAAAACTGACCAAGTGAATTTGTTAATGAACTCTAACAACAAATTAACAAAACTTCAAGTTCGAACATAGAAGTCAAGTACAGCTTTGACTCAAGTACGATTTCAAATTTGGTTGAGTTTCAAATTTGGCAAAGTACGAGTTCAACCCTTGGTACTTGGGGCAGTCTCTAAGTGTTGTTTACGAATAATGAAATACAAGCAATTATTCCAAGAACAGACTACTAATGATGAGTATTTGGCAATGCTCGAAATAACTGTTATTGGTCAGCCAAAAATTCAATTAATTGAAAATAATAAAGATGTTCGTTGTAATTCACTACTGTTCAATAAAAACATCTCTATTGGAAACAATAGATTATATTAAGTATAATAGTCACTGCCGTTATAACTGATGTTATATAAAGTATAATAGTCATTGACATCATAACTGACTTTAAAATCAAATTAAATTTAGAAGACATATCATATATCATAAAATCGGAAAATGTGGATATAATTAAAATATATAATCAGTCTGCGACTTACCAATAGTATCTTTAGAACATATATCGCTCTTGAAGGAAATAATTTACATTGATGAAAGATAAAATACATAAGGATTTGTATAGAATAAAATTGGAAATTTGGTTTTTTAATGTCATTAATTTCAGTTATAAAAGATAATGTACATTAGTTGAAAGTATACTGAGTAAAATTGTCAATTATGGATAAATAAGAATTCATAGATTAATCAACTATAATTAATTTAGTAAGTAAATAAGTTAGGCTTTGTCTCTCACCCTGTCGTTCATCTGCTCAGTCTCTTGACAATATTCTCTTTCATATTCTCGTTCACTTTGTAGTGTACCTTGTCGTTACCCGTGTCGCTCATATGCTCGTTCTCTAGTCATTAACATTGTCATTCACTTCATTCTTCATCTTATCGTTCACCTTGTCGTTTAGTAAGTAAGTAAATAAGTTAGCCACTTTGTCTTTTATCTTATTTTTCACCTTGTCTTTTAACTAGTCTTTTCCTTTTTCTTTTACCTTGTCGTTCATTTGTTCGTTCTCCTGCCGTTTACAATGTTATTGAATTTTTCTTTCATATTGTCCGACACCTTGTCGTTCACCTTGTAGTTCACCTTCTCAAACAGTTAGGTATTGGTGATATTGCATGAATTGCACAATATATTGCTTCCCCAACTAATGCATTTTTAGGATCTGGCATTCTATGATTACTTTCCACATGCAGTCTTTAAGAAAATACTCCAGCGAAAGAAATTTGGTTTCAATAAAGAAGTGGTTGTCTACTCTGAAGCCTACTTTGTGATCAAAAATAGATCGTTATACAGAAAAGATATCAAAATATTAGTAAGGTCTTGAAATGTATAAATATATGAAATGTTTATTGAATAAATATCTCTTAAACAAGACTGTAATGCTGAATGGACTCGAATTCTGCCTAACAGGTGATCACTAATTAATTATACTATGATTATACCATGAAATCATAATAGGAAGTGCTGAGTTACTTACATTTAAAGTTTTTGATCCATAATTTGACCACCTAATACCATTTTGAACTTTACTATCTATCATTATATTATCAAAAATTAATGAAAATAAAATCGTATTGAATTTAGATTTCATAAGATTTCAAGAAAATATAAAGACCAATTTTACCCCATCCACAAACTAAGTGCTCTACTAACTAGCTTCACTTCTGTAATAAAAATCAATTTAGCTATGATCTGGAAAAGCTTCCACATATTACTTTTGTAGAATTAATCCAAATAGATTTACTTACAAATTTATTTGTACATTAAATACAATAATCGCAAAGTAAAGCCAAACAAAGAAATGGAATAAATCCGAAAAGGTGTGTATGAATCAAACATTATTTGCTTTTGTCTTGATTGACGATTAGTGACTTTTAAGTACAAAGCTTTAAGCCAAACAAAAACAATTTAAGGTTATTTGTTTAGTTGCCTTTTTAACTAACTACTACATAAACACAAAACAAAGCAAAACAAAACAACACAACACAACACACACTCATACATCCATACATTGAGTGCACATAAGCGATGCTACTACCCGCATAAAAATACAAACAACAATTCACTGTATTGTTAGCTTTGTACGCCATTAATCAACAAAAACAAACAAAATGTCAACAGTGTTGCCAATCATAAAAGCGCACCGTAAATCGCTTGAAATTGGTAAATTGGTGATTTACCAGCAAATAATAAACAAGTTTAGTAGACATATTGACCAAAAGTTTTTGTACGGTTAACTGATGATGGAGAGACACAAGAAAGAATGGTCAATCGTTGTTTGAATATGTGAATGAAGCAATTGTAGCTAAAAATAAATAAAAAACAAAAACAAAAGAAAAAAAAACGAAAATAAATATGTAAACAGGAGTAAAGTGAATGCTAAATCAACTCGAACTTAAAACTCGGGAATCCACAATAAAAGTAACGAAATCAGAGCAATACACCTGGGAAGGTTGATGAATAAATATATGTGTGTACTTGTATATAGCTACATATTTATTTATATATATTTGTGGTGATTAAAATAAAAGTTTTTCAAAAAATATAAAAAAAGATATGAGTTTTTTGTTATGTACAAACAAAAACTGTACTTTACATTCACTTGTGACGGAAGAAAGTCCTGCTTTTTATAAGCACATCAAGTAAACACAAAATTTGTCATCGAAAAACGGGTATAAATAATTAATGAAAAGCACCACATAGGTTTAAGTTGAAACGGATAGGGATTTGCTTTTGTGTTGTTTGGATACTTTGAAGTTTGTGCTACTTATATGAATCATTTTTTTAACTTTAAATGTATATATATACAAAAACTTTCAAAAGGACTTATGTGTGGAAGAACTTTTCCATTGGTGCTGTTACCAGACATTTTATACTATTTTTCTAGCTTAGATAAACCTAGACTTCTAGGTATTAAGCGTCTTGATTTGAACTCTTTCCCCTAATAACTATAAAGTAGTTTTCCATACTGCTCTCCAGGTTATTCTTAGAAATCTTCTCTATTTATTTCTAAGAGGTCGTTTTAATAATAGTCCTAAGTACTAGAAAGAAGTTTCTCAAACTGCCGTCTGAGGTATTGTTGGAAATCTTCTCTATTTATTCCTAAGAGGTCGTTTTAATAGATTTCAACAGAAATTGTGTTTGGAAGAACTCTTTCATTGGTGCTGTTAACTGACATATTAATCTATTTTTCTGACTTAGATAAACCTAGGCTTCCAGGTACTAGGCTTCTTGAACTAAACTCATTTCCGTAATTACTAGAAAAAATTTTCCCATACTGCCCTCTGTGGTATTGTTGGAAATCTTCTCTATTTATTCCTAAGAGGTCATTTTAATAGATAAACGTCTCACATTGTGTATCTTCTATTAAGAAAAGACATTATTTTATGTATTAAGAACTAATAGATAGTTATGGGTTTAAAAAGTCATTTATGACTTTTTTAAGAAATTCAAATTCATTACCTATTCAAATTCAATAATCTAAGAATTCAACAACTTTAGTATTAAAAGAATTTTAGGATTTAGGACAACTTACATCGGATCAAGAAAAAAGACTTTATAATAGATATTCAACACTACAATTTTATGGGACAATTATACTCAGAGATATCTCTGAATCCTTAGAGGTGGTATAATACCTATTAGGCCACACCATGTGATCTTCGAACATTATAACATCTAAATTTCCTTTGAGTCACTTTATGGCAGATATCATAGGCATCTAATTTTATGTCCTAAATGTCATAAAAGTACTGACATTTCGTCATTGCAGACTCAAAAGTATTTAGCATAGATTTTTTCTGCTTGTAATTTTTTTGAGTTACAACGAAAAAGGATAACAGGAAAGGTCAACATCAAAATTGATTTGTCCTTTTAAAACATCAAGTAAATTTTGTAAAACTCTGCACTTCTGATGACGTTGTCGGTGTTGTTTGGTTTGAGAGCTTAATTTGTTAAGCTACAAAGCAGAAATTTAAACAGAGCAGGAAGTGAAAATTTGCTGTGCAGTCTTTTTTTTCTCGTTTTTTGAAATCAAGGTGAGTTATTGAAAACTGCAAATAAAAAAGTAAAATACAAACAAACACAAAAAAAATAAACTTCTTGTTTGACTTCGTTCATCACTGAAGTTACTGCCACTGCTACTCTCACTACCACTACCACTGCCACTACCACTGCTGTTGTTGTTGTTGGTACTGTTACTGTTTTACTTTGCTTTCATTTGGTAATAAAAAAACCAACAGCAAAAGGGTTAATATTGATATTTGGCTTGTGTGTTTGCATGTGGGTGTGTGTGTGTGTGGGTGTGTAAGGCAGATGAAGTATGCATTGCTCATGTAAGCATTATTTTTTTTAATATGCACACGTACGCACACACTGACTTTTACACATAATGGTGCGCTTTTTATATCCGTGCATATGTCAATATTTACATTTAGCAAATATTGACCAGCATTGATTGTTGCTTTTCCGCAGTCGAATTACTGTTCTTTTTGCGATTTGTTGTTGTTTATGTTTGATTCATTTTTGTTTTCTTTTTTTTTTTGTTTTTCATAAACGGCATAAGCTATCTTCCATACATCAATGCAGGCACCAGTTTATTTGTTGTTGTAAGGAAATGGCATGGAAATTCATTTACTTTTTGCTTAATTCAATAAAATAGCAATGATTTATCAGTTAACGAAATATTGAAACATTGCAAACCAAAACAAAAAAAATGTATAAAGTTTTTTGTAACAATTTTTTTTAATGATAATGTTCAGTTCAATACTGCTAGAGATACAGCTAATTCACTATTTATTAAAATTAGCTCATGAAACCAACACATATGAGAAATTTGTGGAGGTTTAGTACCTACTAATTCACACGGCAAAACATAATCGTGATCCTGGAATCAAATAAAAAACAGAAAACACAAGATCTTTTTAAAGATTTTTACAGTTTTTCTTTTTGTCTAATTTTGACATATTCTGACACTATGAAGAGAAACCCTATGCGTATACCAGGCTATAGTCTTTAACACCAATGTCTTCAATGTTTTCTTATGAGTTTTTTGTTTTTGTATTCAAATGTAACAAATAAAAGAATGAAATATGCATAATCAATAACTGTGATTTATTTCCTTAGACTATCAAATGGAGATGTTCATAGCATGTGATATAAAATAGCGAATCAACAGACGATCCGAACTAAAAGCCTATTGTACATATTTCTATTTTATTTTATTCTGATAAGAGGAAGCCTCGTCTGCTCTTCGACTTAAAGCTACTTTACAGTGAAAGACTAGTGTCTACGTTCGCGGTATCATTCTCAATCTTTTCAGTCGTATTCCAAAAAAAAAAAAATTTTAGTGCAATTTATATCCAGGACGATTTTTGATTGCTACACATCTATGAATGAAATGTTGTCTTTCCGCGAAAACAAGATAGTCATATAATCATATGGAATACCTGTGCATATCTGTGCAAGTCAATTTAATTTTTACGTGTTTATATTTAAATTGATTTATAGCTTTTTATTTGCCATCTTTATAATTTAACAAAAGATGGGATGATTCAACTGCATGTAGATATCTGTAGAAGAGTTTTTACGACGGTTAAAGAGCACGAGAATTGCTGTCTTTAGAGTTTAAATTTCATATTAGCAAACTATTTGATATGTCTTTTCTATTTCTGTCGCCAGTTTTCTTATTAAATCCAAGTACATCCTAAATTTTCTTTTATCATACCATAAAACTGATTAATATTACTTATGTTACTTCAATTAGCAGAAAATTCCAATTCCAAAAATTCATATAATCTGTAACTGTAGTTCATCTTTACAAAGTAGATTTTCGTAAAATTCTGAAATATTTTTTGTTTTAAAAATTTGAATATATTTTTAATTAATAAATTGTTCATTAAAACATGAAATTGTAATTCAATTTTGCTTTCCAGTATTTATGAGTATTATCTGGCTTT